ATGCATTGTTTGGCAAATGCATCATCGTTCTCTGTGGCTCCCTCGAAGAGAGACTTCCTCTCTTCTGTCCCGATGCCGGCCTGAGAGACTGTGGGAGGTCGTGACCCCAGCGACACCTCTCGCCTCAACCGTCGCTATTTCCCTCACATTCTGTCGTCCCCTCCCTCCCCCACTTTAATCCAAACCCACAGCGAGAGAAAGCGGAGGCAAAAAAAAAAAAAAAAAACGTAGGACAGGAAATTTGACATCACCCTGCGACACGTTATTTATTAGGCTCCGCAATGCAGTGTGACATTTTGCTTTCAGAGGAGACCCGGAGATATGAATTTTAATGTCTGACGCTTTGTTGCTCGTGTCGCTATCAGATTCTGATGCGGTGTAATTTCAATCACTTCCCCAGGAGTTTTCTTGGTCTTTATGAAAACCCTGTGATGTACGGAACAAATGTGAGTCCTTTCAAAGCTGTCAGTGGAACCTGGTGTTTTTCTATTTTTTTTATTTACTGACGCAGTGCAAGACTCTCTCCTGTTGTTCCTGGCGTAGTACAGCGTTATAGATCTATGTAAAAAATTGGAAATATATACGGCAGAACGATCTATTGTCAAATCAGCATCAGGATACATGACATGTTCCAAACTTTAGTCCAGCTTGGGTCCCTTCACATTTGATTCAGTCCTGTCTGATCCAACCCCCCCCCTCTCCCCCCTTCTTTCCCTCCAGCCCTCGACTCCCTCATCTCCCATTTCTCGTTCTCTCCCAGCTGTTGTGGTGAGGACAGGGCCCTGAATGAGACCTTTCACTGAGCTTCAATGTTGCACTTGTGTGTAAACGCCAGTGGGAAAAATGCCTCAGCCTTAGCAATCACTATCAAAAAAACACACCTCAACAAACGCTGGTCAGAACCCACGTGCGGTCAAGCCGTCCCGTACGTGCGTGGAGCGTAATGAAGGGACGGTTTGATCGCGTTTTCGTACATGTCGACAGTACGTTTAAAGAAATACATTCCCAGGAAAAATTCAAGTTTTCGTACATAGTGTCCGGAGCGTGTTAGCATGCTAACGACAGCTGTTACGTGACATCAATACGCTGCCATTTAAAGTCACTCATTTTCCATGCTAAATCCTGTGAAAGAATGCGTAGAAATGGCTGTAACTTTAACGTTGGGCTGTGGTTTGAAGCTGTTCTTCAGTCAATTTTCAATCCACCAAAGAAAAACCAGAAACTCCTATAAATATTTACTGATAAAAACAGCGCAGTTTTTTTATAGGCTCAGGTACACGCTGTACTCCTTTAAGTATTTTGCCAGGAATTCGCTAAAAGCTGCAGATGACTTTGTCCAGCTCTTCACAGTCACTGACAAAAAAAAAAAAAAAAAAGGACTCTTACTCTTATCTACCTCCTGATTTGGTCCAGTGCCAGCAGCACAGAAAACCCCAGGAGAACCGATTCCTCTTACAGGATGTTTTATAAGCGTTGTCAAGGCTGGAATAACAACTTTAATTCCAGTTCTGCTGCGTTTGCTCGGGCCTGACTTTTTTTTACCCCCCTCTCTGCTTCCTCTATCAATCCACTCTGGTCTAAACAGATCCAAACACTAACGCGGAACTGTGTGTTATGTTGTGATCCCATGTGTGTGAGCACTTCAACTGCAGCCGCGGTCGTCAGTGTCTGCACCGAGGTGAAGAGAGAGAGAGAGAGAGAGAGCAGCAGCTGCACCAAGATCTTCTCCCTGTCATCCTTCGTTGATTTTTCTGCAATCCACTGGCGTCCAAGCAGAACCATACCAACCCCACACGTCAGCCAATCGCCATCTCCCACCTAACTCAAGACTTTGGTTTCCAGCGATCAACTCTCCCGAAGCGTTGAACGAGAGCGGGAGCTCCCACTGGTGGACAGGAGAGGCGATAGATTTATGAGCTGCCTGTGAAAAAGATCATCTCCCCTGCCTGCTTTTTATTATCCCATCAGATCTGACGTAACGGCGGTAATACACGACGGCCCCGTCGCACGCTGCGGAGCCGCGGCGAATATGAGTGATGATTTCAAATGGCGGCGTCTAATCAGCCGCGAAATTGCCTCAGTAAATATGTTCAACCGCCGGCGCTCCGTCTTCCTTCTGTCCCTCACTTTGAGTGAAACTCAGATTAATGGGCTGGTGGTCGTCACTGTTTCTAGGACCTGTGTTTTCTCCACGCGTCATAATTAGCTCGCGGAAGGAGAGAGAAGTGACGGAACTGGGGATGGTGGGGAAAAAAAAGAAAAGAGTCGCATTGTGTGGCTGTAGTAATCAGGCCTTTGTTGTCTAATTAAATGACCTCATAAGGGTCTGTGTGTGTGTGTGTGTGTGTGTGTGTGTGTGGAGGGTAACCTCTGATATAGAGTTTTACAGCAGATGTGTTCAGTCCAACGATGAATAGGGCTCCTGCAGAGCCTGGAGCTCCCTGGCCGTGCTGGAGTGGCCTCCTTGTTAGTCCCTGGGAATCTGCCACCAAAACTGAATGTGTTTAACCAGCAGGTTCTGGGCCTCTGTGTTCACTGCACAATGTTGTAGCTAAGGACTCTGGTTTCTTTTCTTCTTCTTCTCTCTTTGAATCTAGAAAGTGAAGGACTGGGGACGTCTTTGCCTTAACAGCTGGTCCTGAGGAAAGGTCGACCACCGTGCTGAGCAAAGAACGACTACATTGTTATTCATATTTATTCATGTTTTCTCCTGAACGAGAGGAAAATGGACAGGCTGAATATGTTGAACATGTTTGAGAGTTGGGAAGTGAAAAGGCCGATTTCAGTCGACTCTCTGTGATGGATGGATTGGTATTTGGTCTGTAAATAGATGAAGGTTGAATATTTAGGATCTCAAACGTGTGTTACCTCTGTCTGTCCTATCTTTAGTCTCTGGTCTCCTCAGGGAAATATTTGTACAAAATATTTACCAACAAGGAGCCCAGACTTAAAATACCACTACTACTCTGCTGGGAGTGAACCCAAACAAGGTGTTGAGATACTGCTGTAAACAGTCGTTTGTTGCTGGTGATTATGTTCTTAAATTTAGTCGCATTAAATATAAGACATTCCTAGGGTTAGCTTTGGGCTAACGGCCATTTTTTTGCTCATTTGTGATTGTTCGGACCTTTATTGTGTCAAACCGTTTTGACAACAAGTCCAAAGTGACTCTGAGCTTCACACTACCAGCCACAACGGTCACTTTTTATGACTTTTGTCACATGTTGCACCATGGCGTTTCCCCCCAACCCCCACCCCCCCAATGTCACACACACGGCCTTTCTCTGCCTCCTCTCACTTCACACACCGTTGTAAAAATAATCCCTGAAACGACACTGGAGCCCACGTTTTAAAGTTCCAGCATAGCAACAGTCGCTGCTGCTGCTGCTGCTGCTGTTGTTGCTGCTGTTGTTGTTGTTGTTGTTGGCGAACGCCTGCTCTGGACGAACATGTGAGGAAATGTCTCCGCTGCAGTTGTTCCTCACGCTGACAGCCATCGCCCGTTACAACCACACGGCCAGTCTGAGCAGCGCGGTAACCGAATCCAGCCGCGATGAGTGGGGCGTAACAGCTGCTCTGGAGATGTGTGTGTGTGTGTGTGTCCACAAATGAGAGATGAGTCAGTGAAATCCCTCAGGACGTGTTTGTTGAACCTTCGGTACCAGAAGCCAGATCAAGGTCTTAGCCAGATCTTGGGAGCCTGTTGACTTCACCGCGAGGTCCCACGGGTATTAGGTGATCCGGTGCTTAGCCGCCGCCGCGTCTCCTCTCCCCCCGCTCCATCTCCCCCCTTTATCCTGCCGTATTGTCAACACAAGTCAATCTGAGGGGAAAAACACTCAAGCCGGGGCTTTTGAGTTCTTGATCTATTCACGCTGAGACTCCGAGGTCTGGGTTTAAAGTAAATAAGCCAAACTTCCCCTTCAGGCTCTCCGATAACTACAGCCGTCCCCTGTGATTGACATCACCCAGCCTCAGCTTTTCACCTGTGACACCTGACTCTTTTCTTTTCCCAGAAGAAAAGGCGACCAGGCTGGACCATAAATCATTTCTAGTGTCTGGGGACTGTCTGAAGCACAAAGACACTTAGCTGCAGGACTCTACCTTTGATGTGTGTTTGATTTGTCAAAGAGCACACACACACGGACACACACCGACACGTTCTAAATGTAAAATTCAGTTTGATTAGGTAAACGTAGTACAAACGTGGTGCCTCTGTATGAAATGAACTGCTGCTGAGGTGAATTACTAATATTTCTTTTTTGACATTAGTCCTGATACCGGCTGCGGGGGCGGCTAATGGCTTCGGCCTTCTGCTCTCGTCAAAAGAGATGAAATGGAAATTGATTTTTTAATACAGTTACAGCCTGGTTCTTCATCCGACAATGACAGGAAAGCCGAATTCAAGTCGTAAGCGGATCGTGTTTATATTTAGAGCCGTCTTTTAGCAGGGATTTCAGATATGCAAAAGTGGAACGATATTTGATCGCAGTTAGGAGACGTCTTAAACGTTGACACGAGGACACGGGAATATCAAAGGATGTGAGATTGGGAGATTGTGTTTCGGCTCCGTCGGACCTTTTGTTGTGTGAACATGCACGTCGCAGTCGAGCTCCAGCGACGCCTCAACACTGGTCGTTGGACGTTACCTTACCTTACGTTACGTTAACTTTTGCCAATGTGGTATTTGGATATCATTTAAAATGGTACAGTGAGTATTTTAATTTGTCTCGTCTTCTCAGAATACTTGCTCAGGCATTGGCAAACTAAGGCCCGGGGGCCGGATGAGGCCCGTTCAGCTTTTTATTCCGGCCCGCCAAACCTTTCCAAATTGTATAATTTATTTATATTATCATTATACCGTTGCATTTTCCTTGTAGTACCCATGTTTCCCCATTTTAAAATCATTTTAGCATTTTAGTCTTTATGCATGACTTTTAAATGTCATTTATCTTACTTCCCGACTCACCTGCGTCTCATTTTCCGTCCCGTTCCTGCAGAGCGAGCTATTGCCAGACACGAGGTACGAGAGATCGAGCAGCGCCACGCGCAGGACGGCCTGCGGGAGCGGGAGTCGTCATCGGCGGCCGACGGCGACGACGACCTGGTCATCATTTACAACCGAGTGCCCAAGACGGCCAGCACTTCATTCACCAACATCGCCTACGACCTGTGTGGGAAGAACCACTTCCACGTCCTTCACATCAACACCACCAAGAACAACCCGGTCATGTCCATCCAGGACCAGGTGAGGGCGGCGGCTGACGCATTTATTTCCATTTTATTTTGACACACCCAGTAATTATCGTAAATGTGTTGCGTTCAGGTACGGTTTGTTAAGAACGTGACCGAGTGGAAAGAAATGAAGCCGGCCTTTTACCATGGACACGTCTCTTTCCTGGACTTTGCCAAGTAAGGACCTGCTATCTATATTTGTTACACAATATTTTGAATTGGTCATCTTCATCTCAAGATGCAGAAATTGTGTGATTTTTTTTTGTGAGGTACAAAATATGTTTCAGCTCCAAACCTAATCTCCTCATGAGGTCGATTATTTAGAGTGAAGTCGAATCTGCTTAGGGCAGTAGTTTCAAAATGGATTGATGCTGATCACAAATGTTCTGGACTGTCGTACTGGACTTTATGTCGAGGTCAGCCAGTCTCTGTCCCTGATTCTGCTTCGGTCTTCCTGTTTTTCTGCACTCACTCCTTAATGGATCGGGCTTTTTCACTCGCGTTTTCCACGATGTTGAATGAGTTTGCTTCGGTCTTCCTGTTTTTCTGCACTCTTCCTGTTTTTCTGCACGTCTACTATTCCGACAGGGCCCATCAATCGTCTACCTAAAACACTGCGAGCTGCTGCTAATTTGGTCCTCCACCTCTGTTCATTGATTTATGTGCATTTATAAAACATCAGTTATGATACAACATGTCGTTTCTCTCAGGTTCGGGGTGAAGAGAAAGCCCATCTACATCAACGTGATCCGGGACCCCATCGAAAGATTGGTGTCCTATTATTACTTTCTACGTTTCGGGGATGATTACCGGCCTGGGCTGAGACGGAGGAAACAAGGAGACAAGAAGGTTACCTGCTTTGTTGGACTTCAGTCACCTGACCTCTAGTCTCGTCAAAGACGCGTGTCGTTTAAATGCTGTTTTTCTTCCTTGTTAGACCTTCGATGAATGTGTAGCAGCCGGCGGCTCAGACTGCGCCCCGGAGAAGCTTTGGCTCCAGATCCCGTTTTTCTGCGGCCACTACTCTGAATGCTGGTTAGTACTGAAACACATAACATGGTACTATATACCATGTTGAGAAACAGTGATTTAAGCAGAACATGAAAACAATATAATTGTGAGTGATGAACATGGGATTTTTTTTGCAGGATTGTTGGCAGCCAGTGGGCGCTGGAGCAGGCCAAATACAACCTGGTGAATGAGTACCTGTTGGTGGGCGTAACAGAAGAGCTGGAGGACTTCGTCATGATGCTGGAGGCCGCGCTGCCGCAGTTCTTCAGAGGAGCCACGGAGCTTTACAAAACAGGTGACACGTCTGCTGGGCTATTGGATTTGAACATTCCCTCTGTATTTAATCTAACCCGACACAAGTGCCGCTCTGACGACGAGGACCCGAAGCGTAGTCAATACGCGTCCGTGCCCTCTCTCTGATGAAGATACAGATTGGTCGCGCTAGCTGCCCGGCAGAGTGAATAATGGATGAATTTAATCTGATTATTGACGTCAATACACTCTGACTCAGGTACAGATAAAACCTTATCCTCAACCTAATCATCCGTTTTAGAATGACGTTTGATGGATGACTTTGTTCCTCAAGTTGGACGTTCTCCTCAGTAACCCTAAAAAAAAGTGGTTTGTAGAGTCAGTTATTTATGCTTCACCCCGAAACAAATTCAATTTAATGTGCAGTCTTGTAATCAAACCAACAGAAACTCTATTTTTGTAATCCTGATAAACTATTATTGTGCCTTAAATAATCATATACCGTGGTATTGATTTGCTGATGTGATTCCTCGTCAGCCGTCCTAATGACAGTTCAACTTAGTCATTCCCATGAGGCCAATTAAAAAGCACTTACTGAAAAAAAAATGAAGTGGGATTTAATTTTCTGACTCGGAACTCGAAAAAGTCTTTCAAGTCTAAGACACTGGCCGCAGAGTGACGACCAGAGCCAAACGGACTCCGCCGTGCAGTAGATTGTTATTAAATATAGATTTTATACATATTTTTAATAATAAAGCGAGCTCGATCTATTACGTTGTATGCTTACACATGCTTTTTTTTCCCCTCATCACAGGAAAGAAGTCCCACCTGAGGAAGACCAGCGAAAAGAAGCCGCCCACCAAGGAGTCTATCGCCAAGCTGCAGCAGTCGTCCATTTGGAAGATGGAGAACGAGTTTTACGAGTTTGCGCTGGAACAGTTCCAGTTCGTCAGAGCGCACGCCGTCAGAGAGAAAGACGGGGAACTCTACGTGCTGGCGCAGAACTTCTTCTACGAGAAGATCTACCCCAAGAACTAGAGAGACACAGAGGAATGTGAAGGCTTTTACAGAAGATCAAGAAAACTGGTACGAGGCTGAGACGGGACTACGGGTGACTGCTTCTTCTCTCGACGTGGAGCTGTGAGAAGACGCCGTCACATTAGACCAGTGAACTGGACGAAGGGGCCGTGTTTTCCCCAAATCACCCGGGCCTCCAGTCCTTTTTCACTCCGAGGTCAAAGGTCAAAGGGGCCTCTTTTGGCGGCAGCGCTGAGAGACGTCCACTCCTGACTGGCTTCAGTATTCTGTCATCCTTTCTCGCACCAGGTGTATTTTATTGCATTTTAATCCTTAACAATAGTTTCTCTTTGTATTTAAAGACAGTGTGACATTTGAACCTGAGAGGACGATCCCCAAACCCCAACACCGCTACTAACCTTAGAGGTTTTAAAAGTAAAAATCTGACTACTGTGCTGTATCGTTGAACTAACCTGCAAGACTAGGTTTTACTAAAAAAAAAAAAAACACTATGGCCATGGACTGCTTTCTGGAACGTGTGTATATGTTTTGTATCGTATTGGACGGGTTTTTGTTAGATAACTCTTGTACACGTGCATCTTTTCCCAGGGTCTCCTGGGTAACACGGATGACTGACCTGAAGCTTTGGGTGAAGAAACTGCTGCTGTAAATACTTGGAACTGAACTGTTTCCTCTGTTAACACACGTTTTTCAAGTCACCTCGGGCATTATTATCACTGTGTACATGTTACGGAACTTTTTAACTATTGTTTTCGGTTAAATGACAAATAACATACCATATTTTTGCCAACTAGGATTTTTTTTTCACATTTACTCCAAACCCTGCCACCAAATCTAAAAATACATTTTGCTTCTAGGTTCATCCAGTGCCCCCTAGGTGGCGCCACTGCTCTAATTTGGTCTTACCATCATCTAATGTGTACACTGCCCACAATGTTGTCTTTCATATTATATTTTTTTTCATCCACAGCCACCTGAAAAAAAAAGAAATCCCTGCAGATTTAAACAATTACTTTAATATGATGCAATGTTTTTTTTCTTCAAGAAACTCTTTCATACTCCACCTTTACATACTAACATCGCAGCTACAAATAAATCTGCATTTTTATTGTACTATCATGATTGTTTTAGGTGAAATGGTTCATATCACACATTTCTCTGTATTTTGCCATATCTCAAAGTGTTCTTAGGTTGGCCAGAGATACTACTGCTGTTGTCTCCTGTACGCCCTGCACCACTTAAATATATACTTAGAGGGATTGAAATGATTTGATCGTGTCCACAGCCACAGCCAAAACCTAACTTATTTTTAAAAGCTTACCTTTCAGCAGTTGACATCATAAATACTGATGTGGTTCCTTAAATCAATAATTCAATTTTATTTTTTTTTCCCATGTTTTTGTTTTTCTGAAAGAGTTGGATTGTTTGTTGTCTTTTGGGTTCCTGTCACAACGGTACGTCATGTTGAATGTTACATACTGTGAAGGCAACTCTACTTGTCTTTCACACGACAGTGTTTTTCAGGAACATGTGAAATGGTACTACTTTTAATGTGAGGACATACTGTAGTTTACCTCTCAGTCTTTGTGTGCCTTCTCTACACCCGATTTACATATTATAAGATAAGTCTTTGTTGATTTTTGTTCAATGGAAACAAAGGTTTGTTTTTCGGTTTCAATTGTTTTGGATTGCCAAACAAATACACATGACATTGGAAAAATACAGTGTGTGCAAACAGGTGTGTGTGTAAGTGTGTATGAGATTCTTTTTTCAACGCACTCGTGCTCATCCTCAGGCTGGAGGCAGATGGAGCAACGTGCAACTTGCTATGTATCCAGTAGAGGGCGATAAAGAGCTATAAAGTCTCTTCTGACTCTGTGTATTTATCCATTTGATATCCTTTCCAAATCTTCCTTTTTTCCATTTTCCTAACTGGTAATTGTAATATTATGCAAGATGAATACCAATACTCCTATATTAACCAAATATTTATTCTACATTATTCACCACGCAGCTGGTATTGACTAAATTTGACTGTGCACTTTCAGCATCATCCCATCTGATAATGTGTTTATGTTGTCTTAAAGTAGAGAGCACTGCTATGGTATTAGGTCAGAGAAAGTTTATATAAACCCTTGGGGCCAGTCACTTTTACTTACAGCGGCTCTCAGATAATCCCCAGACAGCCATCACTTACTGGACTTATCCCCATTAATGTCAAACTGTTGCAGTTTCCTGTTGGTGAAGCTCTGACCCAGATAAACATTCAATGTGTCATTCACCCATCTCAAGATAATCGGCTAAAAACATCCTTTACTCATTGGGTAAAAGACTTGCCCCAAATTATTAAAAACAAAGTTTTTATTTATTTATTGTACGTGAATTGAACGTGGTTAGGTTTTAAAATGACTATTTTCTTAATGTCAACCACTTTTATAATTTTATATTTACTTAATTAAACTGATATTTGTGTACAGCAGTATTTGGTGTTTGCAAAGATGCCTTTGCATTACCTTTAAATAGATCCATCAAAGCTAATGGCATATATTCGGTATTAGATTAATTTATTTATATGTCAACGTGTCATAAACAAAGTATTATTAACATTGCTACAACGTTTTGGGCAAAAACTCTTAAAACTACATAACAGTGGGTAGATTTAGTCCATTGGGTAATTAAGGTGACTTTATTCCAGGCTCGATTGCGGGGTATTTGGAAAAGGAAAGCCGGGCGGCTTCAGTGAAGTTTCGGGTCACATGTGTGCTAACTGTCCGGGCAGAGGGCAGCAGCAGCAGCAGCAGCAGCAGCTGAACTGCAGCTCCTCTGGGCGGTCGCTTCAACTGTAACCACCGCCTCTTTCTCCAACTGCACTCGGACAGATTTATGCTTCAGCTCTCTTTATGACCACCAGCCCACCCTCCAGGACCTCTTCGGGACGGTGTGACCGCGAAAAAGAAGCTTAAAGACGACATGGGGAGCCCCATGTGCCCGGGACGACCGACGGTTTGGTCAAAATAATCCCGTCTATTTATCGCCAGAGAGGGAAACTTAAAACAGAACTTGTTTTTGGAGTTTCACCTCCCTCTGCTCTCGGCTCTCCCCGTAGGATTTGATTCAAAGGCGAAAACCAAGATGGCCGCCGATTCCGTGCAGGTAGGAAAAGTTGACAACGGTAGCGAAAAGTGCGTAAACTTGTCACCAGAAGTTGTATTTTAAGTCGATAAAGACCTTTTCTCTACAAAAGTCGAGTCTAGCTCAAAGTCATGGTGTTCTATTTCCGAGAAGTATGGTTGTTAGATCTACAAAAGTTGTCAGGGAATTATCCATGGATCGAGGCCTGGGAAACAAACTTAGGCTGACATGTATCCCACTTTTTAACCGGTCATTTTTCTTTGTGCCAGGTTCGAATTATTATGGAGTTGTACGTTAAGGTTTTTAAATGTTAATTTTAAAAATTATTGAGACGCTAATCTATAGGGTCTGACACGTAACGAGGAGAAAACCTGCGTATTTCTCTGTATTATAAACATTGTCTTGCGTGTGTTTACAGCCGGGTTATTAATAATATTATGTTACTTTTACTTGTTTTGCTAATATTAAAATGTTACTTCTTTAGTTGAAAACAACTTCTTGTCGAAATACTTATTTCAACTTTTACACACAGGAAAAGCACGCTGCTGCTCTGTACATAGTTTAAAATATCCCCTTTGCTAATTGGCATTAAATGTATTTATTAGGTTTAAAAAAAAAAACAGTGACTGAAAGTGTGCATTTTAGTCTAGTCTTATTTTAGTCTACCACCAGCCATGACTCATTGATTAATGTGGTTTCACCACAGTGACGTCATACTCCGAATAAATACACTTTCTGACCGAAAAGTGTATTTAACATTGTTTTAAACACATTATTACACTATATAAGCTTTAAAAAATATTTTATGTATTTTCTTTTATAAATTGTGGCTATATGCACACGTGGGGCAATCACTGTTGCAACCAGAAACCAGCCTCAAACACACACAGTAAAACATGCCTGCCCTTTAGAGTTGAATGAACTCCTCTTTGTCAGTGCCCTGCTATATAATACAATTATTTTATTTTAAAATAATTGTAAATTCAGTGTCATACATTTGAAAGGAGAAAATTGAAAATCAAAATCAAGTTCAGCTCTATTTTTGTCAGCTCACAGTCATGACTCATTGATTAGTGTGGTTTCACAGGCGTGATGTCAGACTTTTAAAAAAAAAAGTCCACTTTTCATTTTATTGAGAACTGCATTTGCCGGGGGGCTCTGTTTGGTGTATTTGGAAGAAGTGACTGTATATAGTACTCACCACCGTGTCACGACAGTTAACACAAGATTCTTTGGTCTTAGTCATCACTTTCAGGATGTCTTCAGCTGAACCTGGATGTCTGCATTGTATATCACAGTCCGATTAAATTTTAGTAATTAAGCTTGGCTAGGATGGTACATAAGAAAGAACACAATGCTTGTCTTACATTCCCATATAATGAGGAACCAGTCTGAGACAAGAACAATAACTGATTTACCCCCCATCCATTAACCCTATCAACCTGGAGCTGAACTTATATCAAATGTAAGTTCATGTTTCTAAATGAATAAAAATGCAAATAGTTGTTAAGTAATATTTAAAATAATAAGAATAGGTAAACTTTAAGACTGAACTAAGTAAGTTACTTATTCTGCTTTCATATGGGCAGTAGAAATGTAAAAGAGTTCATTAAAACTGTTATATTTTCAGCCTGCATTTCATGTTTTTTTTTTGTGATTACCAAGAAAGCATGTAGTGTATAGTCAACAGCCATCTGCTATGTTAAACCGTCGTGTCAGCTGCAGCTGGCACTCAGGGCTTTTAATATAATAAGCAGAACAACTCTACTGCGTTTGGATGGTGAGGATTAATTTAGTCATGAACTGGCAATAAATTATCCAAAAGCACATACAATAACATAGACGCAGAGTTGTTATAGAAAAGACCATTAGAAAGGCTATATATTTTTTATCAGGAGACTGGAGTAGGAATTACAATCTATAAGTGCTTTTATTAAAAGATGTATAATCCTTTTACAGTGTCACCTCAACACAAACAGTGCTTAACGTTATAAATTAGTTCCTTTTGGTATCAAACAGATCAAATTGATATATTAGCCCAGCTCATCCTAAACATTAACAATTGTTTTAAGTTGGAGTTGCCTAAAGTTTTATGTATAGTGCATGACAAGACCACATTTGCAGAATCTACATTTATTAGTGTGTGTGTGTGTGTGTTTCTGGTCACAGTAGAGCACTGTGGCCCATTCTCTGTAGTCAGCTGTGGGGTAAGACTCTTGGGTATCAGGTTCTAAGCTAAGATGGTAAGGGATGGATTTTTTTTTCAAAGGCAAGTCTGGAGTGTGGCCTCATCTTTTCCATTGTCCCATTGTCTGAATGGAGCACTTGTTTTTTGGACTTGGCTTTTAACTTCAGTTAACCTGCTCACACTTCAGGTCGAGACCCAGTGTTTCTGTTTACTTCATAGTTCAATATTTTGTTCGGAGTCATGAAAATACGATTTAAAATATACACGTTAAGTTTATAGTTGCTTACACACCTTTGTGTGAAAAGTTTCTGTTAGACTTAAAACTTCTATGTTTTTGAATTTTAAAGGTCATGCATTGTTAATATTTTGTAGGTTGTATTTTCATTTTCTTGTGAGCCCTGAACATTACACAGAACAGCTCACAGAGCCACTCTGACAAGAAGTTTCCTCCATCCATCATAAACTGTATGCATTGTGCCGTGAGTGGAAACACTGCTTACAATTCCTGCTCTACTTGTCTTTGAACCGAACGAGTCCTCAGTCTCTGGAGTGGTGTAATTTCTCCAACTGAATATTTTATACAGGCTTCACAAACTTTATTATCCTTTAAATGTAAAAACAAATCAGACCTTTGACACAGCAGTGGGGTAAGTTGAAGAAGAAAAACAGGATTTTGCTTGGTATTATTTGTTTTTTACCCATGAGTCACCAAGGAGGCTCTTGACCAGGTTGCAAATGTGCAAACTATACCCTCCTGTGTACTGTCTACCTAAAAGAGGAGAGTGAGGAGTTCCGTAGGGGTGAGTGCGTACATGACTGAACCTGCAGTGGAAATTCTGGATAGATGATGCGGTGTCCTTTTCTACAGTACATCAGTCAAAGAAGAAGAGACAATGGGTCCAAGTCGTATTTCAGTTTAGGCTTTTGAGGGTTGAAACTTTGATCACACCTTAGACGTGTGATGTCATAATCATGTGATCCCTCAGTTTTTTTTTAAATATGTGAAAAGGGAAAATGCTGCTAGTTTGTTCGGCTGTTAGCATCACAGCAGAACACTACACTTAACCACTAGTTAAGCAGGAGTTTCGGATTTCCTGCATTTGCTTTATATAGGTGTGTGTATATATATATATATATATGTGTGTGTATATATATATATATATATATATACAAAGCGATGCACCTCTTCTGAGGCTCTTCTGTACAATCAGCTGTGCACCGGTCAGTTTGTCGTTTCCCTTATGGCAGGGCTGCTTGACTATGAAAAAAATCATAATTATTTTGGTCAATATTGAAGCCTGTAGCTTCAGCTCTTATGATGTTTGGTTTTTTTTTTCCTCACACTGTTAAATCTTTCCAATCTGCAGGTTGATTTCTGGATAACACAGTTCACGACGGGCTGAAATGTTTGCTTTAGTTGCTTTCGCTTTCAGGCATGTCCATCAGTCTCCTCCATCAATCTCCACTATCTCTCGTTTCAGACGATCTCTTCCCCTGCTGTACTGTGTTTCTCTGTGTTTTTGCTGTTGTCACCGAGCACTTCCCAC